TGAATAATTCAGAAGGTTAACCTATTATTTTTGAAATTAGTTACTTGAGAGTAGGAAAATTTCTTTTGGGTGATAATTTTTGCCTAGATGAGTAGCAAGCTTTTTTTTTCTTCTGGATGTTATGTTTAAGAAAATTATTTGAAAACTGGGGAAAACAGGATGACTTGTAAGCAATAAATATAAATTCTGCTACAGCTTCTTGATAGAAAATGCAGAGTTTTTCATTTGAACAATTTCATGACAATTATTTTTGGACTTGTATAATTTGAACTATTTTAGATTTTCTTTTTCCTTGGAAAATAGTAAGGACATCTACATTCTATCTTTTTTGGTAAAATATTACTATCCTTTTTTTCCCAATGATCTGTATTTCTGAAGAAACAGTTATTCCATCAGTATTACATTGATGATTGATTTTTTCCTATTTGTTATGCTAAAAGAACTTGGTCATATAAAGGTTTTTTTAATAGAGTCAATTGATGAAAAAACCTAATGGATTTCAGGTACATTGAAAGTAATTATTTCATATCAATATTAATACGAAATTTTAATTATCCCAGATTTCACTCCAAAGATGAAGTATTTGAAGAATATTTAATTGCTCTGGCTTATCTTGCTTGGATTGACATGTCTGAAATATTCCTCTGTTGACCACCCAAAAAATCTAGTGAGCTTTATCTGAGTGGTTACTGTGACAGTAAAAACTGGAAGTGCTCAACTATCAGCTACTGTACACAGCCTATAAAACTTCATGGGCTACAGACTGAGCTGTGGATACATGATCCCATATTCCCTGGTGTCACTATTACAGGGCAGACTGCCTTATCCTTAACTCTGTGAATGAAGAAGCCATGTATGAGACCTCTGAAGCAAGTTAAGAATAACATACACAATTTTTTTACTGCTTTTAAGTTTTCTCTTTCTGTTTTTGAGGTAGTAGTGGAATTTCAGGCCATTCCTCCAGGATGTGCTGCTGGTTGCATCTGAGAACTAATGTTTCTGCCTACCATGGGTCTATAGACTCTGCTAAAAAACCTGCAAATCCTAACACCTACATTTTTCAAGCTGTGAGACAGAAATAGGTATTGGTATGGCTGCTTGTCCCCATACAAATGGCAAGATTTATGACTCTTCTGTCTGCTTATCTAAAGGCTTGCAGTGCATTCCTCTATTTGATTATTAATAAGGCTATCCTGAATACAAAGTAAAGCAGCAGTAAAGAAAAGCCTGCTTGAGAGCGAACAACATGACACAGTATGCTATGACAGCTTCTGGATACCACTATCCCTTTGTAATTGAGTGTCTCTGAACTGGAAAGCCAATTCTTTTATTTTTCTTTCCATTTTATAAAAAAATTGCAATGTAATTAATGGATTGTCTCCCAGTATTAAGCCAGTGAATTTGCATGACAAAGTCTTCAAAAATACTCAAAATATTTTATTTTTTTTACTATTATTTACATACTCAGTAACAAACAGGAACACAATAGTAAATTTAAAGTTACTGAATAAGTTTCTATTTCTTATGCAGCAGTGGAAAAGCACCATTTAAAAATTTTAATTCTTGTCAAAGCTTGAACTCATTTATGTGTCTTTGCCGAGCATCCTGGAAACATCTAATGCATAGACTTGCAAGCAAACTTACAAGGTTTCTTCATCTGGAAAATGAGGGTCTGCTTTTTTAATATATTCTTATATTCAGAATTCAGACACGTCTGTCTCCTGGTCTTAGCAGTAGAGTTCAATTTAAACTAAATAAATGTTCAATTAAACAGTGGTGTTTCCCCATGTGCTGTATCAGCTTGGCCAAAGCTGTATTCACTGCTGAGGAACCTGGCATTTTCAGTCATTTTGCAATTTAGTAGGACATGGAGAACTTTTGAGAGCCAGTTGATTTGAGTCTCGTATTGTAAAGGTTATGATGAACCTGCACCTGCCAGCATCCAAAATATTTTACTATATATTTTACTAAACTGAGATGAAAGGAACCTAGTGGATTTTTGACAACCTACAACTTATAAAAAGCTAGAAATGTCAAAATATATGGTCTACTTTATATTCCTTTAGGGTTCTTATTTTTAATTTCAGTGTCTACCTAGTGCAAAATGTGGAAATATTCAGGAGCAGAAAATAAGTTTTCCTTCCTCCTAGCAAAATATCCTAATCATAGAACAATAGAAACAGGTTATTCTACTTCTCTTTTTCTTAGGACTGGAAATATACCCTGAAACAGACAGACCATATGATGCCAGATTTAGTTTTTTTTTTTTTTTTTAATCACAGGAATAGAGAATAAGTCAGTGAGTGAGGGAAGAAATCACTGAATTGTGTATGTAGGCACACATCACAGCCACTCTCGGGAGATGCCATCTTCATAAAATTGTTTTATGTTTTGACTGTCACTAACATTAGGAGTTACCTAGATAGGCAAGGTCAAAATAAAATTTCTCTTTCTCTTTTTTTTTTTTTTTCATGCTGGGAGTAGTGGCTGAATCTTTATCGGAGAATTCCCTGTCTCTGGGATTCCACTGTCTCAAGGATTTAGAAATCAGCATAATGGAAAATGCAAGAATAAAAAAGGAAGGTTATACTGAGTTTCAGATACATGGAAATTAGAGAAGAAATCTGCTAATGTAAAAACTTCAGGAGAACCAAGAAACTGTAATGATTATTTCTTTTAATGAATCCATTTAGCTTAGTATATAATTAGGATTTCATAATTGTTTGTGTGATACTGGTTTATTCAACTATAATTGAATAAGTGCCCTCCATAGGAAGGCCTATGAATTATATCTTAATTTTCATTTTGTTCATGGAAATATCTTTTTATTGTCTCTGAATATCTATACGTATAATTTAACTAATTTTTAGATTTATGCAGCAATATAAAAGTATTTTCCCAAATCAAAATACTGTCTCACTATATGTCACCATTTGAATTACACTGCTTGGGTTCTGTAAGTCTTAGCAGCACAAAAGCTTGTCCATTAGAATGTTTCCCTGAACAGAGGAGTCCACTAACTTCAAAAGCAGTAGGTTGCCTTTCATGTTCATATTCCATTATTGTGCAAATAAGCATGGTCATTTTTTTTGAGTTTTAAAGAGTACTAGGCTTATACATTTACTGAACACTATCTAAGTTTCTGTGGCTTGAGCTCTGACACTTTTGGCAATATTGTTTACTGATTGTATGCATTATGTATACATATATATGTATGTACGTACAATATGTATGTATGTACAATATATATGTATGTATGTACAATATATATGTATGTATGTACATATATATTCTATGCTCAATCAGTTTGGATTTCCCTAGATATTGAATTTTTTCTTAAGAAGCTGCCTTTCCCATCATTGCCTCTTTTCCAGTTTGAAATGACTAATGCTTAAATAATTTTTAGTCACATCTTAGTGGCAAGGGCTTGCGCTTTTAAAGTAATATTATATGAGCATCTGCTCCTAATGCTCTTGCCAGAAATTAAAAGGCTGATCTTCAGGAAAAGAAAGGTTAACACCTCAGTTTTGTAGTGAGAAATGTGTTGCAAGAGGAAGATTTTCAAAAGCAAATAGCCTTTTATACTTAATACTATCAGTATTAAATATAAATACAGATATTTTTACTTTACCAACAGTTTATCTGCTTGGTTACTCACAAGACTGTTTACAAACTGAGTGCAGTTTTTCAAGTTTAGTTTGATCCAGTCACTGGATATTCAGCTTCTGAAAACTTCTTGATGAGAAAGCAGCAGTATTGAATGGAATTTTTTTAGACAGTACAAGTCCGGGTAGCAGCACTACTTTGGAAATGAAGGAGAGAGTGAATGAGTAACATTTCTTTCAGAGGCACAATACCTTGTAATTAGTGATCCTCTGATGATGGCCATTGTATGTCCATTAGAATTGACAGGTCTCTGTTAAAATGAGGGCTGAAAGGCCCACAAAGATACTTATAATTTTTCTGAGCCATTCCATGTCCCCACAGTAAGGACACATCTTCAAATTACTTTTATTGTCATAGTATTCTTAGTATTCTTGGCTTTTCCAGATCCAAGAATAAATTATATTACCCCAAAGTAATAACTTTATTTATATTACCCCAATGTATAACTTTACATTCTATGGACAATGATATCTCATTAATTAGAAAAGCTGATGCACAGCATTTTCTCACAAGCATATTTGCTTCATTTAAGATGAAGGTTGACTCAAAAGTATTCTAGAAATTGTTTATTATTTGGGGCATGTCCTACTCTGATAGCATGCCTTGTTTGGGGATGTTTTCTTTGCAGGATTGAGGTTATGCAGGGTGTAGTTTCTTGGATTCCTGTATTTACTGAGAATGAAGTTAACATCTACATGCAGATCAGGTCAAAAGAGCAAAATCTGAACTTTTTGCTCAACATATTTATCAGTCCAGGCAAACAGTCATTCTAAAATATCTATTTTAATTTGTGGAGACAATTTGGGTCACCTCAGTTCTATGCTCCTTTGTATGTTGTATTTTCAGTGAACTGTCAAGTTCACTATTAATGGATTGTAAGTAGAAAGCAAGAATCCATAAGTCTCCCTTCCACTGCCACACACACGGGTTGTGGAAGATCTGGAAGGGAAAAATGTATTCAAGTTTAACTACACAAAATAGTTACAATAGTGATAGTAGCTATGTAATAGTTAAATATACTTCATCCCTATCCTATTTTGCTTTAAATTGTTTTGTTAATATATAATGCTGTACTTTTTTTTACTTACAATACCAGAATGAATATTGAATAGAAAAAAACAACAGGTTTTCCTTAAGGTAAGTTCTAATTCTTGCTGGTTTATTTAATGCTCATCTCAAAGCTCATAAAAATAATGAGTTGCACTGTATCAGGTTTATGGAATTAAATACTTTGTGTTGAAGAATCTTTTCCAAAAGGATTGTTAAAGATGTTATTTTATCTCCTTTTTGCTTACTAGTGTTTTTTTTCCTTTTTTTCTTTGTTCCTCTACCAGGAGGCATTTTTGAGTGTGTGGAATCTGGTCCAATGGGAGCAGAAGAATTAGCCTTCAGATTTGCTGTGAACACAATCAACAGAAACAGAACTCTTCTGCCAAACACCACATTAACATATGACACACAAAAGATAAATCTCTATGACAGTTTTGAAGCATCCAAAAAAGGTAACCGTTTGCATATTTAGTTTCTTTAATGAAGAATTAAGCCTCGCTTAGTTTACTTTCCTGAAAAAAGTCTTTCTGATGAAGCCATATGCAATGAGACTGACATTATTGTCACTGACATTAAAGAGCTGCTTTATTAAAGATTGTAATGGTAGCTGCTTGACAATTACATTGCCACCTTTGCTCCCATTATCCCTCTCTAAAAGCTATTCCCTTAAATATTTAAAATCTGAAATAAATTTTGCTGAACATTGTGACTAGGGTGTTTCTTATACCATCTCCTGTGGAGTGAGAAATCTCACTGTCTTCAAAATTTATCCAGTAAAATGCCAAGCTCCCTCAAATTCTACTGAAACTGGGATTCAATTTTAAACATTCAATCACTTCAAGTGCATTTTCACAAATGCTTTTAGATAGTTAATCATAGACTTCAAAAGGGAAGTAGTAATTGTAATTTTGTGCATCTTATACCAGCATGGCATAAAAATAAGCATAAATATTAAGACTGTGCTTAGGACTACCACGATCAGGTACATGTCTAGGCCTGAGTTAAGCTCTTTTCTCCTAACTATAAATGATATGTTTACAGAAGAATTAAGAGTAAAAGTTAAGTTTGAACATTTTATCTAAATTTTAAAATCTTTGATTCTCAAAAAAAAAAAAACCAAAAAAAAATCCACATTTTCACATTGCTTTACATTTAAGTCAAGGACAACAGGCACAAGTTTCTGTGTCATTGTTGTATCCTTGAAAGCGCAAACACCAAAAAGTTCAATAAGTATTTATGGAAGAAAGTACAAAGCCTCATGTCAAAACTCACTAAGATTGAATTTAGCACTGTATTACATGTTCTTTAAAACCACTTTTTTATAAATTGAAGAGCTAATTTCGTATGAATGCTGCATGTAACAAGAGAATAAAAAGGGTGAAAGAATTGGAGGTCAGCCTGCGTTTCTTATGGCAGGTTTCTAGCCTAAATCTGCCAAGTGATCTGGGCCCAACATGTCTCTCCCAAGCATTAAAGACAAAAAGTTTATACAATAAGTGATTTTTGGTGTTATGGTGGGCTAAGAAGAGTGAAAACACTTGATACAACATTAGAAATTATACCTAAGGGAAATCTCCTGTGGCATGATTAATGTACATGAAGGACTTCTTAAAAGTGGAATTTAATACTAATTAAATATTCAGTCTAGAACTGAAGGGAAATTTTTATTGCTTTTACTATAAGAGATTAACAGAGAATCTTGCTAACCTGTTTACCTGTTTATTAGACAAATAAATAATTCAAAGATCCTTGTTAGGCATGAAAAAGAGTATCTTTATTTGCACAGAAATACACTTTGGTCATTGAAAGATTATTAAGAAAAATTGTCAGGAAAATTGATCATTTTTCATGTATGAAAAATTATAGGCTAAATATTTATGGCTAGCAAAATGGTTTCGTTGCAGAGTAACATGTATGGTAGAAGAAAGAGGAAAAAAATACACTTTTAATAGAGTATCATTGAGTTGTTATTCTAGTGTTTTGGATAATGGATTTAAGCAGGTCTTGAGAGAGATTACACTTTCCTTTCCATCTCAGCCAACAGTGAATAAAAGTGCTGAAACTTAATTCTGTTTCTTTCATTCTCCTTTCCTTCTCATCTTCCAAATTCAGCTGCTTCCTGACTCCTGCACATGCTGACCTGTGACGTCTAACAGGACATTTTCTCCCTGTTCTTGAGGGATGATGCAGACAGCAGAGAAATTTCTCCTGAGATCTCTAATACTTTAATTCTTTCCTGAGAAAATGCAACTACTTTTAGTCCTTACCTGGGGCTTGCTAGCCTGAATATTATCTTGCTAATTCTTGTTAGACTGTAATAGATGAAATTAGAATGACAATGTGCTATTGATTAGACATATTGAATAGAATGCATATATTCCTTTTTCCCACTTGCATCTTGGATGAGAATGCAACACTTTATTTGTAACTGCTCAGGCTACATCAAAATCTGTGTAATGTTCTAGTACTAATAGCTTTTTGCATCATCAATTCACAATACAGACAACTGCATTTGTGCTCACAGGTGCTTTAGTTCAGAATCAGAGGCTAAAGGTTAACACAAAATGGTTCATTTTATTATGATGGATCCAAAGCAGAATTTTAACAATGAAGTTTAAGCATTTGACTCATTTTTGTGGTTCATTATCATGTCCATTAGTGAGCAGGCAGGCACTGCATCAAAAATAGCCTGTTTAGACCTCTTATTAACACAAACTTTTGAAGTTGAATATAGATGAAATATTAGTGGCTTTTTAAAGGTACTGTATGAATAAGCAACCTGAAGTCAAGAAGATATTTCCAAGCTGCTGTTTCAGTGAAGAATAATGTAAATGCAAGAAAATATCCCTCAACATTCTAGGAAAATTGGTATGCATCTGATAGAGCCAGTGCCATATTAAATCACGTGTGAAAGCATTGCATTATTCACATCTCAGAAAGAGGAAAAAAAAAAAGTCCATTGAAAAGCCATCTGGTAGCTATTGCTGTTGTTAGTGATCCCATTTACTGACATTTGCATAAAGCTTGTTGATTACTCTTAGGAAGGGCAATATTAGCATAAATGTTTTTTTATTGAGCTAGTCATTTAGGCAACACACCGAATAGCAATGAAGATCCTGTGTGTCTGACAAGTTTATTTAAACCACTGGTGTTCTGCAGCAATAAAAAGGTATGCTAGCATAGTTTCTGGAATGCACTTGAAAGACTTAGCAATATTTTCATCAAGTTGAAGAGAATGTGCACAACAATTAATTTTGAATTGATGAGAAAAGCAATGCAGCAAGATGTGTTTCTACTGCTTGTTTCCTCAGCTGTCAGGAACATTGATGGTGGAGTAACAGAATTAATCAAATCCCATATAAATACTCATGTCTAGTTTGGTTTTCATTACTTCTCTCAACCAAATGAGTTGCTTTCCTAGAAAACAACTGTCTGTTTTTCAGAGCTGCATACTAGTGAAAGTTATGCCCGTGGTAGAGAATGAGATAGGAGCAGGGCATTGGCCAAAACTCAGTATTGATTATTTTTACTTGCCTTCTTTTTGGAATGTCCTAAAAAATATTCAACAAGATGATACTGGAGTATGCCGTAGGAGATGATACAGATCAGAGACTGCTAATGAACAGTACAGGTAGGGCCACCATGTACCAGAAAACAGGAAGCTGAGCCACTTGAGTACAGCAGTATCATGTCAGCAACTCTCAGGGCCAGTTTATTTACTCATACAAGTATAGCAAAACTGAGCATTTCTAGTTTTTAAGAAAGGACACTTAATTTTTTTTTTTCACTAACAGACAGCAATTTAATTTTAGGGAAAATATTGGTTTTTAAATTGTACTAGCCAACATGCCTATTTCAGATACAGAAATTCAAATGTCCATTTAAATGAAATTAACTCTGCGCCTGAAAAGTAACTGTGAGGTACTTCACATGTAAAATTTCTAATTAGGACTTCAGTAGAAATAGTGGTGACTGATTGAGGAAGAAGTTATCACTTAAACAACCCAGATTAGGATACTGTCCTATTTGACCCTTTTCCAAATGTAAGATGCAGCTAAGCACAAACCTGTTTTATTTGTCAGTACTTTTAAAAAGACACACAATTGCTGGCCTTTATCACTTCCACTGACATAGGAATGTTTAATAAACATAGCTGAGCACTATTTAGATGTTAAGAGTCAATATTATTCAGTTACTAATGAAAGCATGGAAGCATATTCTGAAGTTGAAATGCACAAGTGAAAGTGTTACACAAGACGGGAGCTCTGTCAGTAAGACAATCATATTTCATGGAGTGCCTTTTGTTTAATATGAATTGTGCAATACCTTCTGGCACACTGCCTTTTTTCCTCTCATCATTGACAGACTTCTGTCTCCTCTTCAGCCTGCGATCAGCTGTCCCTTGGGGTGGCAGCCATCTTCGGACCATCGCACAGCTCCTCAGCTAACGCCGTGCAATCCATCTGCAACGCCTTGGGAGTTCCACACATCCAGACCCGCTGGAAGCATCAGGTGTCAGACAACAAGGACTCCTTCTATGTCAGCCTCTACCCGGATTTCTCGTCACTCAGCCGTGCCATCCTTGACCTTGTGCAGTTCTTCAAGTGGAAAACAGTTACTGTTGTTTACGATGACAGCACTGGTAAGGCCAAAGCGTCAGGCTATGTGCAGATCTATTCACATACACAAAGAGAGGGAGGAAGGGTGTCACTACTCATATTTCATAATTTAGGAAATCTTTAAGAGTTTGCATAAATTTTACTGGTAAGGCAGTGTATAACAAATAACGTGGACTTATTAGCATAAGTATTCTCATAAGTATGCTTCAGTTGCTGAATTCTGCGTGTTTGAGCTCACAGCTGTCAATAAATTGGTCACACTCTGTCTGTGTTTTCTGCAGTGTCTTAACAGTTGCTAACAGCTATGTCTTTTGATTTTACTTAAACTTGGAAGAAAAATATGGTAACTTGAAAAAAACACTAGTGTGTTCAGTGAAGTAGAAAGCTTAAATTCTGGTGCTGTTTTTGGTGTTGGTTGAGTTTGAAAACAGATGCCATATTTGTTTGAAATTTTAGTATCTGTTTCTTCAGATAGAAGTGAAGAAGGAGTCTGGTTTCAGCTCCTAGCAATTGGACCAAAAGGAAGTTTGGAGGCTTGTTTTACAGATGACTTACAAGAGTTAAAAATTAACTCCTGACTTTCCAGCAGAAATGTACTAGTTTATCACCTTTCCCTTAGTCACCCTAAAATTTGTTTTGCCTTTCAGTTTCATCTTGACGGTGATATCTTTGAAACATGCTGTAAAACTTACATTTCATTTGAGGTCTAGTGGTGGTTAGAAACAAGACCTTGGTTAAGAAGAAAATATTATTGCAATGGAATATACAAGGAAGGTGCTTGGCCAAAGAAGACATATTAAATCTTATGGGGAATGCTGGCAACTTTTTTCATGCTGGTTGATCCATCATTGTCAGGAAAAGAACATAGGGAGCCTCAAATTCTTCTTGTGGTTCATTGAACTGGAAGTCTGTTGATGTGCTCATTACATGATGCTATTCTCTATCCAAACCTGAAATCAAAAAAAATAAGATCAGGAAACAAAGTGAAGCTACCTGTAGGGAAGACTAACTGTGCTAGATAAACAGCAGTTACTAGATCAGGACAGAACAACTGTTTGCTGTTCAAGCTCAGATAAGATGCATGTGTAGCTACCAAAAGGTGAGGAGGGAGCAGAGAATATGGTGCATATAAGTCTTTATAACGATATTTTTCTATATGCCTTTTTAAAAATTGTAAGGCAGTGACATTTAGAGGTTGCCTCACTGCAAGTTTGTTGGCTGGTGTTGCCAAAAGTTTCAGGTAATCAAACTTTTGATTTAAGCTTTAAAATCAAACTATATCATTATAGACCTAAGGGAAGCAATATGTAGCTTTGGGTTTTTTTTTCCCCTCTCTTGTTTTCTAAATTTTTATTTATTATTTTTCTGAAATAGGAGAGGAAGCTAAATCCTCAAATTTTAAGCAAATGATGATAGAAAGAAGTAAGTTGTGGTGATGTAAATTGGAGATATTTCACCTTGATTTGGAGTCTTAACTATTTTTTCAAGAGGCAGGTTACCTCTTAAAAAAGTAATTTCAGTTAGAAAATTGGTATGTTTTAATACTTTGAAACTGTTTTGCTCAATAATTTTAAGTAATTCTCTTCTGTCCAAAAAAAAGTAAATAAAAAGAATAATTCATGTTTAATGGTCTTTTCATATCCAGAGATATGTTGTTGACAGCCTTGATAGACCTGATCTCAGTAAAGCATGTTTTGAAGCAAGGACATAAATAGAAATGGGAAAGAAAATTAAAAAGAAGGTTTTCTTGTACATATTGTGATCTAGTTGTTCTACTTGGTATTACTGTTAATATTCGAGAGAGAAAAAACCCAAAACAAAACCTCTTCTGGAACAATTTTAAAATAAATTTCACAATGAAGTAGTAGATTGAGTTATTTAATATATTCAAAAAGCATAAAGAATTGTTCCAGGATATAATCTCTTTAAAATGATATTTCTTTCTGGAGTGGCCAGGCCCTTTATGTTATAATATTGCTTGTTCCCATAATCTCATCTACAATATTTTTTGTTTTTCCCTTGAAATCTATTTCTCTCTGAAGAGGCATAAAAAATCCAGTCCATTTTAAAAAGGTTATCCTCTCTCTTTTTTGTGGTGTGTTCTGTAAAGTGAACTTAAATTCTACTTTTTAAAGACTGTCAAATTCTCTTTGTCAGTAGCATCTCCTATGGATAATTCCAGGACTTTTAAAAGCAAATTACACTGCTGGGAAGTCCACAGCATCTCTTGCCTCTGAAGTACATACAGGAACATCTCTTAGCTATGAGAAACTGTTAGTCTTAAGCAGATTTTATATCTGCTGGAGTTCAAGTGCAAACTGGTGGTTTTTGAGGCAGGGGGAGAGGAATTTTTGGAAGGAAGTAGTTGCTTGACCTTGGGAAGTGGTTCTCTCCTGTCATAGGATAAGACAAATATTCAGTTGCGAGTTTAGGACTGGAGCTGAATATGACGTTTCAACTAAGTTTTAGAAATTGTGTTGTATGACTTGTGCCATTTAAGACTTAATTTCAAATTATTAAAATAAGGCAATGAATAAAAAATATTTATCACTTTTTATGTCTGGTTTATCCCTTTGATCAGTGATTCCTTAATGTAAGATGGATATAATTCTTAATTCCTTTTTTCTTTGTTTCTCTTTTAATCACTCACATTTTGCACTCCTTTATTGAATGGTTGTTGAGGATGATGATGTATGCCTTTTATGACAATTTAGAGCTATGGATTTCCTTTATCTCAATGTACAATTTCCCAAAAGACATGCTGGTCAAGACAATAATATGTTGGTATAGCAGCTACAGTGATAATTTAATTGCTAAAACTAATATTTTTTGGAGATTCATATTGCTTTATGTATTTTTATCATTATTATTCTAAATATGGATACAAAGGGAGCTGACACTTTTGTTGCAGAGAGGAAGAAAAGGTGTAAAGCATGCATAAAGTAGGTCTGGATAATTCTCCAACAGATTATCAGGGCTTACCCATATGTCAAGGTCCTGCAAGATGGTAGGTTGACTCTGAGGGAAAGCTTGATTTCATGTGTCCATTTAACTATTTACATTTCTAAAAATATGTTTGTTTCCTTAAATGTTAGGGCTCAGTTTTATGAATTTTCTAAGGAATTGCTAATATTTTGTAATAATAAAGGAGAGATAGATACCTGCTTCACAGCTAAAAAAAATAAAAAATTGTGTCCATGTTCTTCATCTTTTCAGTATGGGATATATCTTCTAGGGTAAAAACAAATTGTAAAAGCTGTGTGATTATTTGACTTTCTGCAGCTAGTAAAAGGCCACGTTAACTCTAGTGTCAGTCCCAGAGGTATGCTAGAGACCAATACTCCAAGTGCACAGTCTAGCTGCCCCTGGACAGCACCATCATGTCCAACTTCATTCAATCCCCCAAGTTTCTACCTAGTATGAAGGAAAGCCATGTATGTGACTGATCCCTGTAAGCAAAGTCTTCCATACTATTTTTTGTGCCTTTCAATCCACAGAGTAGCTGCCTTCAAAAAGTAATATGAAGTGTCCCTGACTCTGAGAATAGGATTGTAACTAGATGATGTTTGAGATTCCTTCCAACCCAAATTATTTTATGATTCTGTGAGATGTATGAAATAGATATTTGTGTTTGGTCTGGATCTAATTTGATTTGAGACAGGATGGTATGAAGCTGGTAAAGGGGAAGTCAGTGCTTGTTTAGAGCCCAGGTTGAAATAAGAGAGAAAATTTGGAATCCCAGTCTCCCTTTGTAATAATCTTAGAGATTACTACAAAGAACAGACATTAATTTGTTTTTTCCCTCTTTGAAGCATTCTCCCTATATTCTCAGAGAAGGAATAGCTGTACACCTTACTCCTAATTTGAGAAAAGGCTTAAGTTGCTTTTAATGCATTGTGGGTAGCAACTAGACCCTGGCCCGTGCTTTATGATGCAGAAGTGGCTAAGTCAGAGAAGATGAATGTCTGCAGTCCAGACTGAGCCTCAGAATACTGGTTTGTTCTGCGCTCATCAGACCTGCCTCGTGTTCAGGAGGCTGTAATGAGGAATGCAAGATAGCTTGCCACAGGAGAAAATAGAGGTTGTGCCATGCTGAAATAGGTACAGGGAAGCTTCTAGAGGGATATGATCAATAACAGTGGAGTGGGCAAAGATCAGGTTGGGTACAGTGGAATAAGGAAGACTCAAGTCTGTACAAATAAGATGAAGTAGATGAATAAACTAGAAAGGTTAATTCTACCTTGACTAGGTAAAAAGAGATGCAGTTTTTACTGTGGGGATATGGTAATAGAAATAAAAATGAACATAAAATGGATAAAGGTTTTAATATTATAATAAAGCTTCTGCCCTCATAGTATTTTATGGAGTAGGTATTGTGGCACTAAGTAGATGAGATTTTTCTTTCAGGAAATTAGAAATGTGTGAGTCCTTTTTTTGTGGATCTCTGTTTTAAGAGTCCTGCACTCACTTTTATTATTTAATTTTTTTTTCATTAAAAAATAGCTACTTTCTGCTTCTTTCTCTGATTTAATTTCCTTTTTTTTCTATCTTTCAATACTCTTTTTTTTAATATAGCCCATCTTTGTATGGGGAAAAAAATCATAATAGGGCTCTAAAACATTTTTCTTGCTAAAAAAGGTAAGTATTGCTTCCTTTGGTCATTTTAAAGGGAAAAGCATATTCCTTTTAACTAGGATTTCATATTAAAAAAAATGCAGAAACAGGAAAAGCCCCAGCAATCCCTCCCCCACCCCCAAAAAAACCTCAAAGAAAACAACCAAACCCCAAGACTAAAAAAACCTCCTAGCAGGATGTAATGAGAGGCCAGTTACTTTTTTCCTCCCTTAAAGTAATTTAAGGTCTCTTTGTTAATTAAATTCCACTAAACTGTCCCTGGACACTAATTAAGTCCTTTCAGATTTACAGATTTGCTACAGTCAATTGTCTTTAAGAAAGAAAAGTGGAAAAATGACAATATGTTCATCATCTGCATGTCCTAATGGATTTAATTGGTCTCAAAACA